ATGTTAAACCAGGAAACAGGAGACTTGCATTCTATCCCCCTTTTGTGGCAACTAACTAACTGCATGAGAAGGAAGCCCCCTCCTTCTGAGTCTTTGTTTCCTCATCTATAAGATAAAATAGGCTCTGAGTTCCCTGCCAGCTCTGAGACTTAAGCTTCCATGTTATCTTTGCCCATCAAGTGAACCCATTTTTCTATTCTGCCTCTGACATAGGACGTAATCCCAAAAGAGCAGGGACTTTTGAGGTTTTGCTGTGTTGCATCACCAGTATTTATAAAGTGTCCAGAACACAAATATATTCAGAGAATGTTTGAATGAATACTTCCCTGAGAATCCAGACTCCTAGCTCACAATATTAAACTAAGCCCGTTTTCTAGTCGCAGACAATTTAAGAGTAGCTTGGAAAGTGTGTCTCTCTATTCAGATACCACTTTGGTAATGTTGTTATCAATAATCTTGCAAAACAATATTTTTCATTACTTTTTTCTGATGGCATAAGTACTACATGTTCTCTAGAAAATTTGGCAAATATGTAAGGGAAAACACAGAGGTCATTTAATAAGTTAGTACCCGGAAACAATAAATATTAACATTTCAATGTGTGGTCTATATTTTTCTTTTCTAGTTTTGTTTTTGTTTTATTTTCCAATCCATCAGGAATCCATTTTTCTATTTGTTCAATACATTCTTTCTAATAGTTAACCAGCAGCATTTACTGAATAATAAAACACACAAATATCAGTTAACTACTCCACATGTCCCCAAGTTAATTCCTCACCTCCACTACCTATCCAAACAACTTCCTCCCTGTCAGCAATTCTCCCTGTGACCCAAGACAGAATCCTAGAAGTTATCCTCACATTCCCCATGCTTTTTATTACACCCAGTAGATCTCCAGCTCCTCTTGAAGATCGCCTTAGCAAGCAAAACAACCGAATCGCCGGTCTTTCGAAGTCTCCAAGCCTGTCTCTCCATACTTTCCCACTTTCTCTCCAATATTAGCTGGGGCCAGATCAACCTGCTTCTGGCTCCCCAGCTGTGTCATGCCTTCCCTGGGTCCTGGGCCTCTGCACCTGCCACCGGCTCGTTCTGGAAGGCCCTTCAGCATCCTTTCACCTAGTTACTTCCTGCTTGCCCTTCACGCCCCAGCTCAGCTATCACCTCCACGAGGAAAACTTCCTTAACTCTGAAAGCTGGGTGCAGAGTCCTTCCTTTCCTTTTTGAAGATGCCATTATACCACTAATAGGATTCATATTTTTCTCAGTTTGTGTCTGGACATTATGGAATTTCTCATATGCGTGGTTATGTCTCCTAAACTTTGTGCAATGTCAAACACAAGGAAGTTGCTCAAAGCTGTTCATTGGAATGAACAAAACGTTTTCTCCACTGATTAGTAATTCTGTTTATGATATACTTAAGATGATATGCACTGAGATCTATTTCCTGATCCTATTTTATTTAAGCTACGTCTGTTTATCCTTGCACCAGCATCACATTATTTTAATGTACTATGGTATTATGATGCATTTTAATATCAAATAGGTAACCCTCCCACACATTACTCCCATTTGCTCATCTCTTTAGTCTGTTACATGACCTTGAGAACTACATCAGAGTTTTTTTAACTTTTTGTAAACTCCCTTTGGTGTTTTAATGGTATTGCATTAGACCTAGGAGGAAAATTATATTTGCAACCAATACTTTTATCGCTTCCTCTGAAAATTTTATAGTTCTCATTTCTGTTACTTGGATTCCTATGCTGGCTAGACCTTTGGGGAATAATAAATACAGTGGTGATGGTAGCTATCTCTGAGAATGTCTCTTACTACCTAGATCTTATTAGTATTACAGGATAAAAAATACTTAAGAAAGACTAAGTTAGTGCAGTACTACATTAACTAACAAAACTATTTGCAGGGAAAAAAGAGGCACTTAATCTATCTAAATGGTCTTTTTATCCTAAAGGCCCTGATAGTCCCTCAGAAACATATAACTTTGTGTTCCAAAATAAAATATCTAAGAGCTGCTAAGCTTCTCATCCCTCTTCAGATTTATCTTTCTTTCCACCACCAACCCAAAGGAAGAAAATTTTGTATGACCTTGACAAGAATGGTTAATAGATATTGCAGAGTTTTTGTTTTGTTTTGCTTTGTGTTGTGTTGTTTCTGAGAGTACAGGTTGCAGTTCGATTTGTCCACAGCCTTTCTGGAAAGATGAAAGTCAATCCTCAATCTTTGCTTTTGAATAACTTCCAAAGTTAAACTATCAATTAATCAATCAAGGTTTTCCAGAGAACAGAACCAATAGAACATAATATATCCCTATATGTATATAAAATAAATCTCTTTATTATATATATATATATATATATATATATACATATATGCATAATACACACATTTCTTACATATAATAAGGAGATTTATTTTAAGAAATTGGCTTACATGATTGTGGTGACTGGCGGGTCCAAAGCTTGTAGGGTAGCCCAGCAGGCTGGTAACTCAGGCAGGATTTCTATGTTACAGCCTTGAGGCATAATTCCTTCTTCAATTTATCTCTTTCCTCTCATATTTTACTCTAAGCATCAAGGACAAAACAGGTCACATCTTCCACAGTTCATTTGGAAATCTCCTCCGTAAAATATCCAAAATCGTCACTTACAAGTTTGACTTTCCACCCAACAATAGAACATAATATAGACGAGTTCTCTGCCAATTTATAACAAGGATCACCTTTCCTCTGCTGCTTCCATATGTTTCTCATTTCCACTGAGACTTCATCAGAAGCACTTTAATGTTCATATTTCTAGCAACATTCTGTTCATAATTATATGGATATTCTTTTTCTAAGAGCATAGAAACTTTCCCTACAGCTCTCCTCCCTTCTTCCTGAGCCCACCCCAGACTTGCCTTTAATGTCCATATTTCTACCAACAGTCACTTCAGGGTAACCTAGATTTTTACTATCGAGTGCCTCAAAATTCTTCAGCCTGTATCCATTACCCAATTCCAAAGCTGCTCCCACATTTTTAAGTATTGGTTACAGCAATACGACACTACCTTGTACCAAAACCCATATTAGTTTCCTCAGGCTGCCTAAATAAAGTACTGCAAACTGGGTGACTTAAAAGAACAAGAATTTATTCTCTCACAATTCTAGAGGCTAGAAATCCAAAATCAAGGTGTTAGCAGGGCCGTGCTCCCTCTGAAACTTCTAACAGAGGGTCCTCCCTTGCCCCTTCCACCTTCTGGTAGCACCAGGTGATCCTGGGCTTGTGACAGCATCCTCCACCTTCTCATGGCCGTCTTTTCTCCATGTCTGTGTGTCTCTGTGGTCCACATGGCATTCTCTCTGCGTGTCTATGTCTGTGCCCAAATTCACATCTTCTTATGAGGACACCAGTCATAATTATATTAGGGCCCACCCTAAGGACTTCATCTTAACTTGATTGAATCTGCAAAAGCCCTGTTTTCAAATAAGGCCACATTCACAGCTACCTGGGATTAGCACTTCAACACATCTTTTTCAGATACAGTTAAGTCCCTAGTAATTTTTATTTCATCACCAATTTTTGAGGTAGGTATTATTATTTTTATTCTCAAATGTAGACACTCAATCTTAGAAAGGTTAACGACCTTGCGCAAAGTCATGCTATTTGTAAATAATACAGCTGTGACTGATTCAAAACCCATATTCTATCTTATTACCTAAGAAATTGTTAATATTATGCCTAAAAATATAATCAGCAACACCAGACTATGCTTCTTGGTTGAATTTGACACAATTGACCTTTCCCTTTATTGAAACAAGTGCCCCTTCGGTTTCACGGTCACTTTTCTTCTTGCCGGTCCTCTCATATGATCCCTCTTGCGCTTTCATTGGCGCCGGCCCTTCTGTTTGAGCTGTAGTGCCCCAGGATGAGCCCTTCCTCTATAAGCAATCTCTCGCTCACTGCTCTCAGTTGGTGACATTACACACCCTCTCTATGCCAGCATCCCTCAGACATACAACCCCGGCTCTGATCTCTCTGTTGAACACCGGACTTGCATTTCCAATTGCCAGCTTAAGATCTCCCTTTACATGTCTAATAAGTTTCTTTAAATCAACCTAGCAATCCCATTCAAGGTTCTTATTGAAGATAAACAAAATCTTATCCTGATAACTTAGGCAGATGTGGTATTTGAAAGGGTATTCAGTAGCTGGCAAAATACCTCGGAGAATAAGAAAACCAAACTAGAGGGCTAATAGCCCTTGAGGGGCAGTGCCCAGGTCATACTGTGGAACTGCTCAAGGGAGCTCCCGCCGCGACCATTGCTGTGTTCAGACGCTGTGCCTGACATCTCTGCTACTGCTGCCTCAAACAGGGATTAGGATGCTGACTCCATGGCCAGAATGAACGATAATTCGGAGTTTCACAGATGTATCTGGCTGAGCCAGGGACATAAGCTGCCCCCCAGCCACAGGGGCTACTGGTAAAGCAAGCTTCTGACTTCTATCTTAGAGAAACACGGATGCCTAAGTAGAGGAAATCCTCCAACATAGGAAGGATGGTACTGAGTGGCTGGAAAGAATGGCAGATATCCACCATAGTAGCCAAATAGAACTCTTGATTCTTCTCACCCCCTCTCCGCCAGGTGCTTAAGCTCCACACCTAAGAGTCATCCTTAAGCCTTCCTTCCCTTATTCTCCACTTCTAATTTGGCATCAAATCTGTTCACCTCTACCTCTGAAATATATCCTAGAATGTACCCGCTGCTTTCCATCTAGAATACCTTAGTGCACGCCACCAGCGTCCCTCACCTTGACCACATACTACAGCCACCCAGCCGGCACTTCCACTTCCGCTACCTCCACAGTCCACTCTTCACACTGAAAACAGACTGGCCTTCCAAAAATAGAAGTTGGCTCAATCGAGTCTCTGCTTTAAGCCCTCTAATGTTCTTACCCTGGCACACAAGGTGCTACATAACCTGGTCCCTGCCCAACCGTCTAACCTTACCTTATTACCACTATTCCTTCCCTTGCTGAGCTCCAACCATAACCGCACTGGAATTCTTTCCTGCGCTTGGACACAACAGGCTCCTTCCAACCTCAGGACTTTGTACTTGTTGTCTCTGCTCAAAGATCTCCCTGTGGCTGTATTTTGTTTGTTTGTTTTAGTTTTTGTCTTTCAGGTCTCAGCTCAAAGGTTACCTCTTCTGAGAAGTCCCATTGTAAATTAGTCCATCTGTCACCTTCTATCAGATCCTCATTGTTACATTTAATAGTATTTGTCATTATGTGACATTATCTCGTTTCTGATTTATTGGCTGCCTCTCCCTAGTCAATTAAGTCACTAGATTGCAAGCCCATCCATTTTATCTACCGCTGTTATTCCCAGTCCATCTAGCAGTGCCCGGCACACATTAGAGAGTTGAAATACATAGATTATAATTATACATATATAAAATCGACGTTTATCTATGCAGATAGACTGAGAGTATATATAATATATATTTGTTAAATAAAATCACAGATCACATAAATTACAAAGGCTAGGGACTTGACAACCAGAGAAAAGATAAAATCACTGAGCTCTTCAATGGTCAGAAAAGGTTCCAATGAAGTAGTGAAACCTAAGCTTAGCCTTGAAGAATGGGCAAGATTTGGACTTTCAATTACTGACTAAGGTCCTGGACAAACAGAAAACATGACTGATAAAGATGATTCAATACACAGACACCAAATAAGTATATGAGAAGATCCTCCACATCATACATCATCAGGGAAATGCAAATTAAAACAACAAGATACCACTACACACCTATTAGAATGGCTGAAATCCAAAACATTGAGAACACCAAATGCTGGTGAGGCTGTGGAGCAACAGGAACTCTCATTCATCACTCGTGGGAATGAAAAACGGTACATTCACATTGAAAGACAGTTTGGCAGTTTCTTAAAAAACTAAATATACTGTTACCATATAATTCAGCAATCACACTGCTTAGTATTTACCCAAAGGAGTTAAAAGCTTATGTCCTCACAAAAACCTGCACTCAGGAATGTATAGCAGCTTTATTCATGATGGCCAGAACTTAGAAACAACCGAGATGTCCTTCAGGAGGTGAATGCACAAATAAACTGTGGCACATCCACATAATGGAATATTATTTATTGCTAAAAAGTAATGAGTTTTCGGGCCGGCCGAGTGGCACGATGGTTAAGAGCTGGCTTGGGACGCCAGAGGGCCCCGGTTCAGATCCCACATATGAGGGCCAGTGACACTGCCCTCTACAGCTAATATGCTGAACAACAGCTCAGCCTAGAGCTGGGCTACTGTGAGTCACCGGCGACGGCATAGGCTGCAGCCCCTGCTGCAGTGGGTTGCCATAAACTACCGTGTGTGGCCAGCAGCCAGCGTGAGTGGCCAGCAGCCGCAGTGAGCAGCCGTCCAGAAGCCGGCAACTGATCTGTCTCACCCGGGAAGAGCGCAGTGATGGTGCCAACTTGGGCCAGTGAAGCGACGTCCTCCACAACTAGACTGAAGAACAAAAGGACAGCAACTTGTCTGTTCCCCTTCCGCCCAATTCCCCAGTGCTGTTCCCATCCCCCCAATTCCCCAATAAAAATCTTTAAAAAATAAAAAAAGTAATGAGTTATCAAGCCATGAAAAGACTGGGAGAAGCTTAAATATATATTACTAAGTGAAAGAAGCCAATTGGAAAAGGCAACATACTGTATGATTTCAACTATATGACATTCCGCAAAAGGCAAAACTATGGAGACAATAAAAAGATCAGTGGTTGCCAGGGGTTGGAGGGGTGAGAGGGAAGAATGTAGGGCAGTGAAACTATTCTGTATTATCCTGTAATGGTGGATATGTCATTACACATCCGTCCAAACACACAAAATGACCAACACCAAGAGTAAACCCTAATGTAAACTATGGACTCTGAGTGATTATGTGTCAATGTAGGTTCATCTATTGCAACAGATGTACCACTCTGGGTCTAGAAGCTTGGTGGGGAACCATAGCTGGGAAGCCTAAGGTTAAAAGAGGCTGAAAGGGACCATGGTCAAGCACAGTGGTGACCATCACCTACTTACAACTGAACTCGATGCCAGTCCTTCTAGAACATCCTCTCATCTGCCAAGATCATTTGCAAGTTCTCAGTGGCAGTCATGTGATGTCATATCCTATCCAGGGGGCATCTCAAAGCCCTTTGAATATCATATCAGGCTGGGGTCTGGAACTGATGGTCACAACACCAGGGTGGGTACATAGATGGCAGAAATACATAGGAATCAGGAAATAAGGCAAGTGAATCCGGAAACCTAGCTGATAAAATCATGTTGGGACGCATACAAATGAGAAGCATCAGGCCCACAACCCAAAAAGGGGTAGAAACAGAGGCAGATCTCCAGGACAGCCTGGGGCCTCTGGAGGGCACCATGGAGTGACCTCATGTGACAGTGACGCCCACCTTACCAACCCTGCCTGCTCAGGATCACCTACTTACCCTTGAAGCCCAGGCAAAGAGGAAGCAACAATACATATTAGCAAACTGAGGAAGAAATAAATCTGTTCACCGCCGCAGCCCGTCCATATTAATTAAGCTGGTAGTCAGATGCAAGGATCTCCCTAAATTGCCACGTTCCTCTTCTTCCGTCAGCAGTTAATGACTACAACTGGAGCATTAAAACAGCAAGGCAACCAGCTTGCATCCATTTCTGTATTTTACCAAGGTCGGCAAGTTTGAGGAGCCGGATATCTCTTCTCAGGAGGCTCCAGGATGGATTTATTAAGGGACTTATAAACCCTAAGTACTCTGCCTCAGAACAATCACCCATGAATTTCTTATAGAGTCAATTTTCAAATTACCTGCCTGCAGTTGTCTCTTCTCCAGAGTTTGGGTTCTTTCAGTCTTGGGAATTTAAATTTTAAATGTCCTTGGTGATTGAACTCACCACTAACCATA